ACACACAGGCCGTATGTACGCCGTCCAAACAGGCGTTAAGATTGATGCGAAGTCAAAGGAATCCTCGCAGTTCCTCAGTGCATTACTAGATAATTTAGACGTTATGAAAAAGGCACTGAAGGATGATGAACGCATTTCGTCAGAACTTCACGGTCAATCATATATCGAGGAGTACGCACTAAAGTTATTTACGTTTGCGTTCAAACGCGACGAAGCCGCTGACTTTGGCCCGTAAGTTAACCGTGCACATTATTTGCTACCTAGTGCCACTGTAAAATCTTTTCTGACGGCGGGAATATTGATGGATGTGCTGTCTTTTTTTGGAGAAGTTCCTGAAGAGGTACATATCCATAATAATCCTCACTTTGCCAGATTGTAAAAGCTCGGAAGTACGCCAAATACAAGGCCGTTTACATAAAAAAATGCCTTGATAAAGGCGAAGTTCCGGTTGCGGGTCCTGCGTCTGAAGATGATAAATCTGCGGTTCCCGGTAAGACGATAATACTTTTCCCTCTTGCAACCCTTTGAGACAAATGAACCCATGCACTACAATTTGACACTTGAACACAAAGGCTGCTAAGAATAGAAATTTGGTCAATAGGAGACATTTATTATAAAATAGACGCCCTGCGTTGCCAGCAGCCTGAAGTACGTCTTTAGAGATTTAAAATACCTGCTACGCTCACATATTCCAAAATGGTTTTATTCACAAAAACAAATTCTTATTTTTTGTTTTGTCAGAGCTTATGTTTTGTATATCTGTCCATCGGGAATGTTCTTTTACTCGCCGCTTCTTATCACACAAAGCATTTTCATGCCAATTATACTTAAATATTTTTCGCGGTGGACTATCAAATGAAGAAGAGGTGTTTACTAGGACAGCTAGGTATGTATTGTGACATTTTAAGCAGTGGATTTGACCAGTCATCTTGAGCAGTTAAAGAATAGTGTGCGCGTTTCTCATGCATGCGCAGTTACATGTTACGTAGGTCAAGTGCCACATGCGGATACGAAAATCTCAGATGTGACTTGTCACGCTTCCATCCCGTTATTTGCGGCTATTATTGGCGGACCCGACGCTTTGACATTTCTTCCGTCCTGCCACTTTAGTTCACAAAAGTAAATAGGGGACAGGTAAGATAGAGACTAACCGGGCAGTCTGAGAATGTACAGGCTTCTTGGGCCTACCTCGATGCCTTGTCGTTACTTTGATCCACCCTCTCGGCAGCGTTAAAACTGTAT